CCTTCATGGGCCATCGGATTTGTTAACGCTAACGGATGTGCCACGTACTATAATGTGAAATGTATGAACTTTGAATACGAGTATGACTATGTATATGAATCTGCTTCTGCTTTGACATCTGATTACGTACAAGACTCTGTTTCTATATGGACATCATTCAGCAAAACCTTTGCTCTGTTATTATTCACTGGGCTTCCGCTCACTATTTATATTATGTATATAGGTGAGCAGGCCCGTGACCAGGCCTAAGCTGTTGCCTGAAGAGTTTGGGTCAACCAGCCACCGTGCCTCCTGAGGAACAAGTCTTTCGGACTTTTGTATGTTCTTATGTTTATGTTTTTTAGAACATGTTTTTGAAATTCGGTATATGTAGATTTGGTGATGTATGACTAATGTATATATATATATATATATAACATTACTCTTATGTATCAAAGTTTTAAATTTCTATTTCATGTATGTCTGCACAGCTCTATGGACTATGAATATTTCTATATTTGCTTCTGCAGCCCCTTATTATATGATATTCAGGTCAGAGGCCTTTTGTAATCCTAGGATTACTGGCCGATTATGACACAAAACCTACAGGGGTGGGTTTGGGTCGTGACAGAGTGTAGACAACCTATTTTTGACAACCCTTAAGACTTGGGTGCCTCAGGTTGATCACTCGATGATGGAAGTTACGTTGTACAAACATTCGATTTCTTCAGCAAGAAGAGCTTCTAAATCCCAACCTTACACCCCATTTTGACCAAAACTGTTTTGACCAAAACTATTTTAGACCGTAAAACCCTTTCTTTCGCAATATTTTTCCAAACGTTTCTACGATGTTCCGAGGCTTGCATTTTGTTTAAAAGTTGCACTTTTCGGTAAACCGAGAAAGGACAAAGTGGAAATAAATGGAAGAGAAATGAGCTCTTTGAAAAATCTTTAAAACCTTTTATTTATAGGTTTGGAGTTGAAGAAAATAGGAGGGGAGGGAAAAAAACTAGTTGGGAAAAAGTTGGGCATCAAACCGTTAAGGGAGAACTGAGCAGCCTTCACTAAAATAGGCATATCTCTTTGTACACTTAGACTTTAGTTATGAGGCTACCACCATTGGAAATTGGACTTCTGGGGCTTCAATTTAGACTAAAGAATCTCCTAAAGTCCAGTCCGGGTGAGGGAAATATGGTCGTTGGAAGTTAGGCATCAATCCAGTTAAGATAAAAATGAGTAACCTCCACTAAAATAGACATATCTCTTTTCACACTTAGAATTTAGATATGAGGATACCACCATTGGAAATTCGACTTCCTAGGCTTCAATTTAGACTCAAGAATCACCTAAAACCGAGTCTGGATGAATGAGATATGCCCATTTGAAGTTGGGCTAGGAAGTAGATTTTTGTGGCCCGCAGGCCACTATTTGTGGACGACTGGCCACTACTTCTGGCCTGTCGGCCACTTGTGTGAAGCCCAGATATTTGTTTCCAGTTGTCCCCCAAAAGGTCCATCTGTTTGTATATAGATATTTTCGACTGAGGCTCATGTTTTTCTATATATACTTGACCTTCTCTCATGTTTTTAGGTTACAAAAAATTCCAAAGGGACCAAAACTTGAAATTCTATCTCTATCTTTATCTTGTAACCTATACACACTCTCTCTCTACACTTCCTAAACCAATATTGGAGCTCTCCATGCTGAGATTCTTGAGTCCAAATTTCAGCCTTTGAGAGTGAAACACTTGTGGTTTGTGAAACAAAGCGTTATTCCTCTTCAAGAGGTATAACCTTGGCCTTCTCTACATTACTTTTTCCTCATCTTTTCTTACTATTTTTGGGCTGTTTTGGGACTGTATTTTTAGGTAGACGGGTGGATCACCCTTCTTCGAACCTTGTTTCATAAGCTTTTACCCTTGTGTTTCCCACCTTATTATCAACTTTTTTTGAGCTTTTTACCACTGAATTTCAGAGTTTTTTAGAGACTAAAAATGTCATTTTGAAGTCCTAAAAATGGAAGGGTAGCTTCCAATCCTTGTGAAAATGCTCACTAGCTTAACATGCTCTATGTTTTAGCTTATTGTTCTAGCTTTTTTTGTCTTAATTCTAGCATGTTTTAGGACTACTTTAGAACTATTTTTGGTTGTTAATTGCATTTGAGCCTTGTATTGCATGCTTGTAGTGTAATTGTCCTCATAGGTTTGGTGGTTTAGGCCTTAGCCACCAACTTATTTGAGTTGATAGCATTTATTTCTTACTTTCCATACTTGTGATCACCTTTAATCACCTCTACAATCTGCCTTATTTCTTGGCTTTTTATTTTCTTTGAAAGTTGTTTCAAGCTACTTATTTTTTTAAGCTTGAGATTGAGGTCTTGTGCTTAATGGTTTAATCTCTTTAGGGGTTCATTACCAACGGCATGACAATTCTCCCATGCCTAAAACAAACACTTGGTTTGGTGCTCCTTTCCTTTAGAGGACATAAAGCTCACTTTTGGACTCAATTGGCTGTGAAATGGTTGGTAATTAAAATGGAGTAATAAAATGAGGATTAAAATGATGCAAGATAATAATCAACTTGGTGTTCAATCGGCATTTCGTACTTGCTAGTGATGAAATGGTTCAAGTCTTCCAAGGTCAACCACTTCCCTTGATCAATTCATGATAGGAAGGAGGTTTGAGAGTCTTTCTTATTGCATTTATTGAACTTGTACACCTTGGTTCATAGGCCATCATGCAATGAAATTACATCGATTGATGGCTTGTGAATTAAGCTTGCTACTCTTTTGAGCTGTTTTGATGATAAGGAGGGTAAGGTATACGAACATACCTTAAGAATACCCTGTTTGTGCTCTGTATGCTTTCTGTTACAGTGGGGGGAACCAAGCATCAGTGGCTGGCAGGCCACTTTTTGTAGCCGGCAGGCCACTATTTTTGGACGGCAAGCTACCATTTGTGGTCGGGCGGCCACCACTTCTGGCCTGCCGACCACTTTTGTAAAATTGAGCAGCAGTGTTTTTGGAATAGAACAGAGCAGTGGCTGAGGTGAAAGATGTTCTACTATGCAACAAAAGCATTCTAACAGCATAACAATGTGCTTTTCGGGTGGAAATCCGTACATGCATGAGCATCCCTCACTTCCCGGGCTAATTAGTTAAGTTAGTTACTTTATTTCATGTTATATTCATATTGTAATTAATTAGTTAGCGAATTAGAATTTTGTAATTCATTAATTAGTGTAATTAATTAGTTAGTTCCAATTTGTAATAATTAGCTAGAATAGTTAATTAGTTGTGATATTGTAATAATTAGCTAGCATAGTTAGTTAAGTCATTTTGTAATAACTAGTTAATTAGTTTATTCGGACCCTCTTGCGTGAGGGCACAATTGTAATAATGTGTATGTCTTCCAATCTAACGCCTTTCTCCCTTTTATTTACTAGCTTATGTTGGTTTGTTTCATCATGTTTTGTTTAGCATCTCCATGTCTTGCATCCACTTGTCTTGCATGCATTAAGCTCGACCCATCATTCTAACTCTCATTGTTAGTTTAACGCTTCTTTGAAAACGTGCTTAGACCGCATGCTATCAAATTGATTCGTATGCCATACAAGTAGCCGAGCCTATTTAGATTGCATATCGCATGTGTTACATTAGTCATATTGCATAGTTAGGATCATGCATTATTCTAACTCTGTCATCTTTTTGGCTTAGAGTACTAGGTGAGCTTTTGTTTGTTTTAGCATATTGCATTATATGTTAGTGTTGCCATGTCAAAGCATGTTCACCATGAGGCTAAGTGCTTATCTGATAAACTATTTGAATGCCTGTGGATGAAAGCTAGTTGAATTGGGATGGTTTGATTCATGTACATTTAAGCCCACTTTTTCGAGTGGCACATTTACAAACTCTTTTCAAAACAAACATGAAATTAAGTGTTCCAATTTTTATAAGTTAGTCTATACTTGTGTGTGTGCGCATCGCATAGTAATGCTAGCCTAATAATGGGAACAAGAGCATATAATGTAAATAAGATTCACATCATGATTAGTATAGACTGATCTTTGATCAGGTGAGCGGGGATGCTCAATTCATGACCTTTCCCTCTCGTACCTAAGTTCCCGAGCTGAGACAATCTTGGTGACGACGGACACGTGGCCTTTGGCATGAGTCATGGGTTTCCTAAATTTTCCAAAAATATTTAGGTGACGACTTTGTATCTGGCAAAGCAGTCTGTTTTTGGCATTTTGATTCAAAATCTATTTTCCAAAAGATTTGCCGAATTTGGACTCTTTGGTGTTTATCTATTTCACATTGCACTTGTGAGATCAGATTCAGAACCGCGAGAGTCCGATATTGTAGGGCTAGTCGTTTTTCAAAAGGAGCACGAAAAGTCGAGCTATATAGAGCAGCCACCGTGCCTCTCGAGGAGGTTCCCTTTTGAGATCTGATCAAGTTTTTGAGAGACAAGTCTTTGGGACTTTTGTACCTTCTTATGTTTGTGTTTTGTCCAAACATGTTTTGGAAATTCGGTATATGTGGATTTGGTGACGTATGACTAATGTATATATATATATATATATAACGTCACTCTTATGTATTGAAGTTTTAAATTTCTGTTCCATGTATGTCTGTACAGCTCTATGGACTATGAATATTTGTACATTTGCTTCTGCAGCCCCTTATTATATGATATTCAGGTCAGAGGCCTTTGGTGATCCCAAGATTACTGGCCAATTACAACCCTAAACCTACAGGGGCGGGTTTGGATCATGACAGAGTGGTATCAGTGTACGAGTTATACCGCACACACGAGTCCATATGAGCTATAAGATGTCCTAGAAAGAATTAGGGACATAGCATTTGCATGTGGGAGTGTGCTTGTTAATTTATGTACATGAGAAAACCGAATCTAAACATGAACACATGAAATTGAAATGAATGAACTGGGCTTGAATGTCCCAAACATTGTGAGAAGAACTATTTGCCTATGTTTATTATTGTTCTGTTTACCTATAGCGATGGAAAATGTAAGAAGTGATGATACAGCGAGATCTTCTAAGGCTCACATGAGTCGCATGGAACAAATGCTTGCAACCTTAACAAAATCTCTAAGGCAACAATCCATGCCTCATTCGCCTCCACCAATACCAAATGAACTAGATAACAATGACATAATCAATCTGACCCAGAAGTTTATAAAGATAAAACCGCCAAAGTTCTTGGGTGGGATTGAACCATTGAAGGCTGAGACATGGCTACTCAAAATAGAAAAGCTATATGAAGTCTTTCCCTGTTCTAAGATTCAAAAGGTGCTCTTGGCCACCTATACTTTAAAGGATGAAGCTCGAAGGTGGTGGTTGTTAATCCGAAACGATAATGGGAACATGACATGGACTCAATTTAAGGAAATCTTCTATGACAAGTATTTCTCTCAATGTTTTCGGGACCAAAAAATTTCTGAATTTCAAAAACTTAAGCAAGCTAATATGTTAATTGCTGAATATGAAGCTAAGTTAATCGAATTGACCCGATTTGCTCCACACATGGTGGATACTGATTATAAAAAGGCACACAAGTTTGAAGGAGGCTTGACTTTGGAAGTGTTTGACCAGGTTGGCGTCTTGAAGTTGCCAACCTATGTGGAAGTATTAGACAAAGCTTTGATGATAGAAGTTACCTTAGTAGCTATGAAGCAAAGCAAAGCCCTAACAACGACAGAATGAAGAGGTAAGAGATCGAAAAATAAGCTTAGAAAAGGCAACTCCTTTGGAAGTAAGAGGCAAAATACGGGATCCTCCAGTAGCTCTAGTCAGAGTAGTGGGTCTATACCAGTTTGTCTGGATTGTAGGAGAAAACATAAGGGCGTCTGTTATCGAGCAACGGGTGCCTGTTTCAGATATGGTAAAACTGGCCATATAATGAGAGATTGTCCAGTCCGGTTCAAGAATACTAATCGCCCCACAACAAGTTCAGCTAGATTTACTTCCGTAATAAGGGCAAATGCTAGAACTAATGCTAGGGGTAACACCGGGAATGAAACGCTAAGACAAGGGAGAGTGTTCGCACTAGTGCCTGGGGATGTACAAAATACTGAATTAGTGGTGTCAGGTATTGTGGGAGCCGAATAAATAGCAAAATCAGAAACGTACGCTCTAGAAGATAGACATTACTCGGCTCTAACCTGCGCGATCAGGAGGCCGAATACAATAAATAGGCCGAGTAACTATCGAACTATGGGGCCGAATAAATAAGCAGATAGTGAGCGAAAAGTGGACCAGGCCCCGAGGCCCGAGAAACGAGTATAAATAAAGGAACAACAGTTGAAGAAAGGTATGTGAGAACCATTACACTTAACTTAAAATATAAGTAATTCAGAGAGTAAAGACTGACTTGTCCGTCGGAGTGCTAATTCCTTTTCAGGTGGCTAGTTGAGGATCACAAGCGTCCCCCAAGATCAGAAGAGTATTTCCAAACCACTTCTCCACAATTGGCGCCGTTTGTGGGAATACTCAAATACATCCATGGCGAGCGTAACAGAAGACCCTCCGATAGTCACTGATGAAACCACACAGAGAGACGACCTCACCCCAACAAACATGCTTGGACCGGAGACTAGCGCCGCAAGACGTGCTTTGAACTTCGCCTCACCCTCGATTTCAGAGCATGAGACAATGCAGGCAATCATGGAACAAGCAAAGCAAAACGAACAGAGGTTGGAGAACATGATCACTGAGAACGAACTTCTCCGTCAAGATTTGGCCTTGGAAGTGGCGAAATCCAAACAAGCTGTACGCCAAGATCCAAAACGACCTCTGAGGGCAGGTGGTCGACGACCCCGAGCCCCGACAACAAGACACTGATAGCGACTCCGACTAATTATCCCTGGAGCCCAAGAAAAAGGGACGATTCGAGACCTCCAGCTCCTCTGATGAGATTCCACGGATAAGGCATAAGCACAGAAGAAACAGTTCAGATGAAGAAGACCAACACGATCCTTTTGTGCGATGAATTGCAAGGGCGGTTCTACCCAAAAAGTTTAAAGCTCCGTCATTCACTCTCTATGATAGAAAATCAGACCACATCGATCACATCCGTCACTACAAGCAAGCCATGACATTGCATGCAGACGACGAGGCCCTTATGTGCCAAATATTTCCAAGCAGTTTGGGACCATTGGCTGTCAAGTGGTATTATAAATTGGAGCCGGCTTCGATCAAAAACTTCCATCAATTACAGAAATCCTTCAGGGCCAGATTCATTACCAACGAGGTTCAGCCGAAACAAGCCGACTCTCTCTGGGCAATGCAGATCCAGCCAGGAGAAACACTAAGAGCGTACTCGACGCGCTATTGAGAATGTTTTAATCTGGTAGACGATGATTGCAATGACTCCATGGCCATCACCGCCTTCAAGATGGGGCTGCATCCCGACAGTGCCCTCCGCAACTCTTTGACTAGACGGCCCCTCAAAACAGTCTGGTCATTGATGAAGAAAGTTGAAGAATACTATAAAGTGGAAGATGATGCCTTGTGGGTTAAAGCCGGAAATGTGACCAACAAGACGGCTCCTCTCCTGTTCAAATTGTTCAGCCGTTAAATTCTGTAGAACCCCAGAGCCTTGAACCACGGCATCTGGCAAAACGAGATAAAAGATGGGATTCTCGCCGATCAAGCGACCAATGCTACCACCGAGCAAATAAACAGCTGCAAGTCGATAGTAGATGCACAAGGCGCGCCGACAAGAAATATACTGAGTTGTCAGAGCCAATCAGCATGGTCATGTCCAAAATCCAACATCTTCCGTTCTTCAAATGGCAATAAAAAATGGTGGGACCTCCCGACACGAGAAGACGGGATAAACGGTGCGAGTATCACAAGGACCACGGCCATGATACTGAGAGTTGTTATGCATTGAAGGATCACCTGGAGGAATTGGTACAAGATGGTAGGCTACAACAGTACGTTCGAAAAGGCAACCCAACCAAAGCAATAGCCTTGAGACAGGATTCCCCTCCACTCGGCGTAATCCACATGATATATAGCCTGCCAATGTCATCCGCGGTGCATACGATTCAGTCGAATCCCGACCCTCAAATTCAACTCACTCCGACAAAACGGCCCCATGAAGCTGCGAGCATTGCTTTTAATGATTCAGATTTGGCTGGAGTGACACTTCCCCACATTGATCCCTTAGTAATTGAGTTACGCGTAAACCGATTCACCGTTGAGCGCGTACTCATTGATCCGGGGAGCACATCAGAGGTTATGTATTACAAGACATTCACCAAACTCGGCTTCTCCGAATCGGATCTCTCTCCGGCTTCTTATCCAATATTCGGCTTCAACGCCAATCCAGAATCCCCATTAGGGAAAATCACACTACCCATCCGAGCAAGCTCCCGAACAGTGAATGTGGAGTTCTTGGTCGTCAAGCTGCCATCGCCGTATAATCTCATCATAGGGCGATCTTGGTTGCATGTTTTGCAGGCCGTGCCAAGTACCTATCATCAGCTACTACGTTTCCCGACAGAACGCGGCATTGAGCAAATCCGTGGCTCTCAGAAATCGGCACAAGCATGCTATCTCCTTGATGAAAAGACGCCAAAGGAGTTGCAAGTGAACTCTATTGAGGTAATAGACTGGGAGAGCCTCGACGATGTTGGGCGGCTCCCAAATGAAAAGGCCACAGAAGACCTAGATCGAGTCGAAATCAATGGCAACCTAGACAGGTTCTTCATGGTCGGCGCCTCCCTCAATCAACCCGACAGACAGCAGCTAATTTCCTTCCTGCTCGGCAACCTTGATGTATTTGTGTGGACTCTATATGAGATGCCGGGTGTAGACCCGTCTGTTTCGCAACACCGTTTAAATGTTGACCCTAAATGTAAGCCAATCATTCAAAAAAGCCAACGATCAGCCGCAGAGCACACTGCCGCAGTTGTTGAAGAGGTTGAGCGGTTGCTTGACGCCGGGGCAATCAGGGAAGTGACCTACCCCACATGGCTCTCTAATGACGTGGTTGTGAAGAAGAAAAATCGGACCTGGCGAGTCTGCGTTGATTTCACGGACCTAAACAAAGCCTGCCCAAAGGATTGTTTTCCTCTCCCCAAGATAGACCAACTGGTGGATGCTACAGCCCGTCATCAGCGTATGAGCTTCCTCGATGCCTACAGAGGCTACCATCAAATTGCCATGCATCTGGAGGACCAAGACAAAACTGCATTCCTCACCCCAAGAGGAACCTATTGCTATAAGGTTATGCCTTTTGGGTTGAAGAATGCAGGGGTAACTTATCAGAGACTACTCACCACCATGTTCAAGGAGCAACTCGGCCACACTATGGAAGTGTACATTGATGACATGGTGATCAAATCAAAGGAAGAGCAAAATCATATAGCCGATCTGAAGGGGACATTCGGCATTCTATGCAAATATGGAATGAAGCTGAACGCTTCCAAATGTGCGTTTGGGATCGGCTCTGGAAAATTAGCATGTTTTAGGTCTAGCTTTGTGAAGCTTTTGTGCTTATTTTGCCATGCTTGAGGTCTATCCATAGTTGTTTGGGTCGGCCATGGCATGCATTGTATAGCCCCTTTGCATTTTTGGCTTGTTAGCCTTAAGTGTGTGAATGTGTAGCATGCATCCTTGCCTTAATTTAGTGAGTTGGGACCATTTTCCATGTTATTTCAGTCCCTTTAACATGCTTGTATGCTTGCCTTGGATGCCTCTTTGAAGCTTTGGAAGCTTGTCTTGCATGCTCCATGTTTTGGTCATTGTGCATGCTTTTGAATTTGAGCCACTTAGATGCCATCTAGGTGTCCCTTGGGTGTTGTCTAGGCCTGCCTTAGACCTATTTTGAGTCCTCTTAGCCTTGTGAGGCTTGGTTGACTTAGTCTTGGTTTAAGCCTCTCGGCTTGTCTTGGGTTTTTGGCTTTATTTGCATGTCTTGTTTATCTTGTTTTAATTGGCTTAGCACCTTTTGTAACATGATTTTCAATGCTTACCTTGCATGCCATTAGTCCATGTTATGCCTCTTTCAAGTGTGCTTGAGAGTTGCCCTTTTATGCTTGAGTGTTAGCCCTTTAACATGTGCATGTGTGTATGGGTGTTTAGTCCTTCATTTTGGGCACTTTGGCCACTGCTTTTGGACCTAATTAGAGCTGCCTATATCATGCTTAAGTCCACCCTTTGTTTGTTTGCATGTTTGGCTCGCATATTTGCTTGCATAATTGCATGAATGCGTTGCATTGCCATGTCGCATCCTTAGCTCACATGCCTAGGATTGCATTCCACTTGCATGCATGCTTGGCCTCTTGAAATGTTTGTGATAGAGGTTGAGTCTCTTTGGTTTGTTGGTTTGCATTGCACTTGACATCAAATGCGCACACTTGGTCTCTTGGGCCATCACGCATGGAAATGCGCGATTGATGGTCCGAGAACCAAGAAGCGTGTCCCTTTGAGTCACTAACATGATAAGGGACATGATTGGTGCATACATTGCTTGAATTGCATTGCCATGCTCTGCCTTGCCCTCTGTTGCTGTCAATTGCAGATTCTGCAGGAACTTTCTGCCGATCGGCAGTGTCCAGTGCCGACCGGCAATCCTTCCTAGGCCGATAGCTTCACCAACAGCCGGTGATCACACACCACTGCCGGTGGTCATTCTACTCAGCCGGTAGTGTCTCCCAATGTCCAGGGAAGCAATTCTGAGATTTTGGCAGTCT